GGTCCCTGTGCCCACCGCGGTCCCTGGTTCCTAGAGGCCCGACCCCCAGCCCCTCTGCACCCAGAGGCCCGTTCTAGCAGGGCGTGCCTGGAAGTTGGGACACGGGCAGGTGCCTCACGCTGGCTCCTCTGGACCCTCCTGCTGCACGCAGGCTGCCGGGCTCTGTCCGAGCCGCCTTTCTCCCCGCCACCTGGACCCACAGCCTGGGGCTCACTTGGGCCAGGCGGCCCCGGGGTGCAGCTGTCTGAGGCTCCTCACCCGCTAACTGGCTCTGACCCCGGCATTCAGGGCTGGCGCCCCCACCCTGGGGACAGCCCCTGCCAGGCCTTCAACCCTACAACCAAGGGCCGCTGGGTACTGGCCGGGACTGCACCTCAGTTTCCCTTTGGTAAGAGCGCCCCACGGTTCTGTCTGGGTGACCCTCGGCCTCTGGGATGTGCCAGCTGCTGCCAGTTGGTCTCTAAGGAATAGGGGCCAGAGCCAGGGAAAACAGGTTGGGCAGCGAGAGACTCGGGAAGCTCCCTCAGCAGTGCCTGAGGGAGAGAACATGGAACCCTGTCTGCCTGGGGCTCAGCCGGCCTCCTCTCCCAACTCCTGAAGTTCCGGAAGAATCTGGAAGATTCTGCAAGATTCTGGAAGGGTGCCTGACAGCCACCTTTCTGCTCACTTGGACCCACTTGCCCTGACCTTTGGTGCTGCCATGGTGTGCATCCCATGAGCCGGGAAATGGGGCCATGAGGGACCCAGAGTCAGGTGACCTGGGGTGGCCCTCCCCTGGCAGCAGCTGACCGCAGACACTTGGGGCTCAGTGGGGTGCAGCCTCACCCGAGTGTCCACGTCTGTCCTGGGGACTGGGGCAAGAGCTGGGCTCTGCTGTCACGGGGGTGGGGCTGCTCCAGCAGGCCCCGGGGCCTTCTTCCTGCTGTCTGCCTTCCAGAAGGTTCCGGGCTGGAGACGGTGACTGGCACGGTGCCATCAGGACCCCCCTCTCCTCTGGCCAGCTCAGGGGGACAAAGTCCCCATGCAGCCCAGAAGGGTTCAACTCTGTGCCTCCAGGGGTCTGTGTGGGGCCTCAGCTTTCCTCTGGGAATCTTGAAACTCAGGGAGAGGGGTGGTGTCCAGCCACACGCGTGTCCCGGGGGTGGCCTTCCCAGCCTCCCACCTGGCCCCAACTCTGCCCAGCATATGGACCTTTGCCCCAGACCCTGCAGGAGACTTCCTGTCAGCCTCTCTGACCCCCACTGCCTCCGCAGTGTCTGGAACCCCAGAACGGGATGGGGGGTGCCTGTGATCTTCCTGGGGCCCCCAGTAACCCTGTCACCGAGCACAGCTTGGCGCTCCCGGCTCGCGCCCCCACCCCCCGCAGACCTTCCAGGCCTCGGAGCCTCTGCCCGCTCCCAGTCGGAGTGTCGGCCGGGAAACTCGCTCCCTGGGGCCTGCTGGGAATCAGGCTCTGCCTGCCCCCGGCCCTGGACAGCAGCCCCCAGACACGCCCCCGCCCGCTCATTACCCGGCAGGGCCTGGGGAGTCCGTGGGGCGTGAAATTGGGAACAAATGTGCCGGAGTCTAGACAGGAACTCGCGGCCGCCCTGCCCGCCTTCCAGGTAGCGGCTCGGCAGGGCCAGACAGATGCTCCCCCATTCCCCCCTAGATCCAGACACAGGGGCGGCCGCCCTGCCTCAGTTCCCCGCTTGGGTCTGTTCTCCCAGGCCCCCACCCCTGCTGCTGCCTGCCGCCTGGAGGTGGGCAGAGCTAAGGGCAGGACGGGGCATCTTGGGGAGGAGCTGCTGTGTCCTGGACCACGGGGCGCGGGATAGACACAGACGGGGCGGCGGGGGGGGGGGGGGGCAGCAACTGAGGAAGCGGAAGCGTCTGAAACGGACCCACTCCAGATGGCCACACTGCGGGCCAGCCGCCGGGGAGGGCTGGGCAGGTGGGAGCTGTCTGGGCCTGCTGCCTGCTCCTCCCCGCTGGGGCCTTGTTCTGCAGCCTGGGGTGCAGGCCAGTCCCCCAGGACGGGCAGGGGCGTGCACACAGGCCCTGGTCACTGCTGTCCCTCCAGTAGCTGGGCGTTTACAGAGCCAGCCAGAGGGCCTCCTCCTCCAGGAAGCCTTAGCCCCCAGTGTGAGCCTGGCACTCAGAGCCCACTGTGGCCCCTCAAACACCCCGAACCGCTGTTCCTGGGATCTGATGTCCAGGGGGCACTGGGCAGTTGGGCAAGTTGGTCCCCACCCAGGGGGACCCTTTGGTTGTCTAGGCACCCCCAGACCTGTGGCTGCACCCGCCTGACCCCTCGCAGAGCAAGTAGGAGCTGGCAAGCATGGGGTCTGACCCCTGCCCCGCCCACAGGTCAGAAAAGAAAAGGGCTGCAGGAGGCCCCTGACTGCCAGTGTGGGGTGGCAGTGCCCAGGCCCCCGGGAAGTCCCTCAGGCTGGTCATCTGGGTGTCCACTGAGCAGACACTGCAGCCTGCAAGGAGGTCTGAGGGGCAAACGAGGGGACAGGCTCGCTACTGTACCCGCTGTGTGGGGTCAGGGACGAGATCCCGGGCCCCCGCAGGCCTCAGCCTCCCTCACAGCGCTGGGCCTCACGGTTCTGTCACGGACCTCGGAGAAGTCTGGGAGGGCTTTCTGGAAGAGAAGGCACGCCTTGCACCTTGGAGAGTCAGGGAAAAGGGCACCCCTAGGGGCAGCGCCCAGCAAGACAGAGAGTGGCAGGAGGGTGGGTGCGGGAATGGTGTGGCGAGTGAAGTGTGCCCAGATGCCAGCTGGGAGTGGTGAGGCCGGCAGCCGTGTGCCCGTCTGCTGGCGGAGCCAGGCCCGGCCCCATGCCCACGGCGTTGCTGCCCCTCAGCATGTAGGGGTGCGTGCAACGGGGCTGGCTGCTCCAGCTGGACGCGGCCGGGGTGTCGGAGCGGCTGCTGACAGCCCTGGGCGCCTGGCCTGGGCCGGCACCCTCCCCGCCGTCTGCCTTGTCTCCGCCTGTCCCGGGCTGGCACCCCGGGGACGGCAGTGGGGCTGCGCCAGCCTGTCTCACAGATGTCCCCGACGTCTCCCGGGACGGGGTGTGTCTCGGGGTCACTGAAATGGGGCTGTTCGCCATGGAATAGGGGCTGCGGTGCCTGGGAAAAGCCAGGACAAGGGGCAGGTGGCCTGGGGTCTGGTGAGGCCCCGACCCAGGAGCCCCAAGAAACGCGGGCAGGGCTGGGGCGGCTGCCTGTCCTGTTCTGCAGACTTGGCTGAGAGGCATCTGGACCCACCCCCCATCCTGCATGGCTCCTGGCTGCTGCCTGTCTGCACCCCATGCCCTGGCCCGGCGGATGGAGCTAGCGGGCCCAGAGCCCGGGAACGTGGGGTTCCCGCTCCTGCATCGAGTCTGAGCTCTGCCGCCCAGCTGTGCTCGCGCCGTCTGTGCTGGCTTGTCTGTCTGGTTCTGTCTGTCCGTGGGGGTCTGGATTCCAGTCCCAGCTTTGCCCCAGATGGGCTACGCCTTCCACGGCAGAGCTCAGGACTCGCATCCCCAGGCCAGTCATGTGCCTGTTCCCAAAGAGGAAACATCAGCCCTGAGGCCAGGACCCCTGGTAGGGGCCCCCGCCGGCGGCAGGAGAGATAAGCCCTGCAGCCTGGGTGAAGGAGGGAGGGAGTCCCTTCCGTCTGGGGGCTGCCGTGGCACGGACCCCTGCCGCACACCTGCTTTTCTGCCTCTGATTCAGGCACCAAATGACTTCTCCGATTCAAAAGCGAAACGAAGTCACTTCCCGACAAGGGCAGGAGCCCAGCAGGGAGACACCGCACGTGGTCCCGGAAGACCCACAGGCTCTGGCCCCGTGGGGTGCAGGGAGAGGCTCTGGCCCCGTGGGGTGCAGGGAGAGGGGCCCGCACCCCATCTGTGCCCGGGGAGCACAGACTGCGGTTTCTGTCACTTCACATGGCTGGGAAAAGCAACCACGGCAGCGTCTGTCTCGGGAAACTGGACGTTTGTTCCGACATGGCCTCCAGCAGGCCCCCAGCATGTGTCTGAGTGGGGTGCCTACCTAGGAGGTCCCCCATCTGGGCCAGGCACAGGGTCCAGCTCTGCACACCACACAGCAAAGCCACGGTGTGGGCAGAGCTGGGGCCCAGGTGGGGCAGAAACCACCCCAGCTCACGCCAGGCTGCTCGGCTGCACCAGGGGTGCATGGGCCCTGCCAAACGCTGGTCACCCACCCCAGATTAGGACTCCCAGCCCACCTGGACACAGGCCAGCTGAGTTCCCACAAGTAACCAGCAGGGTGGCGCTAGTGAGCCAGGTTCCCTGCAGCTACCGCCCAGGGGCCGGAGCACCCAGTTAGCCAACGAGCCCATCAGGTCACCTCACTGTCCAGGCTAGAGGAAGCCAGCCACACGGGACACCTGGGAAGGCACAGGGTGTGGGGAAAGTGCGAGCCGGAGGGCAAGGCGGGCAGGGCAAAGGAACTGGCCACAGTGGCACTGGAGCTGCGGCACCGACCCAGGCCAGACCCGCAGGGCCGCGGTCCCCTCTGGCTCTAAAGGCTGGCCAGAAAGTCGGGGTGCACCCCTGGCCCACACCCCGCCTGACGGGGACACGGTGGGTGCACGCACGTTAGCACTTGGCCCGTGCCTGAGCAAATTCCGGGGCGGGCGGGCGGACGCAGAGAAGCCCACAGCGAGGAATGGTCCCGCACAGCCTGGTGGAAAGTGCTGTGGCCTTCCCGTGTCCGTGGCCGGGTGCCCAGGGCTGGAGAGGCTCCGTGGCTGCACCGCAATGTGACAGGGCTGGTGGGCCACGCGTGCCCAAGAGAAGGAAGGACCCAGGATGCCAAGGTGAAGTGGCACCTGCAAAAGGGGTCCCAGAGCCACCACTGAACCTGGCATCACCGTCGGGCGCGGGCATTTGTGGAACGGTCACCGGATGCCCACATCTGCCCATGTGGAGGCTGGGGGTCCAGGACGGCCCAGGCCCTGCCCCACTCCTCACAGCCCTGCCCCGCCCGTGTTGCAGGAAGTTGATGGAGACGGGGGGCGGATGACAGCCGGCACGGTGGTGATCACTGGGGGCATCTTGGCGACTGTGATTCTGCTCTGCATCATCGCGGTGCTGTGTTACTGCCGGCTCCAGGTACCCAGCCCTGGACAGGGACAGGACGGAGCTAATGCCACACGCTGCGGGGCTGGGGAGGAGCGGGGAGCCACAGACCAGGGGCGGGGGCTGTGTGCCTCCGGGTCCCCTCCTGCCTGACGGTGTCACGTGCAGCGGCGTGGGAGGGGGTGCCGAGGGGTGCCGGGCCCGGGTCAGCAGCCGTCGCCCACAGTATTACTGCTGCAAGCGGGAGGAGCTGGAGGACGAGGAGGAGGAGCCGGACTTCGCGGTGCACGCGCCCCTGCCCCCGCTGCGCCCCAGCCGCCACCTGCTGCTCGCCAACGGGCCCCTCCACGCCGCCGCCCTGCGCCCCAAGTCGCCGCCCGCGCGCGCCCTGTGCCGCAGCTGCTCCTACTACGAGCCGCCCAGCTTCTGCCTGCAGGAGCCCGAGGAGGACCTGCGCAACGGGGGCGGGCGCGTGGCCTTCCGCAGCCTCAGCCAGGAGGACCTGGGCGGCCTGCAGGCCCTGGACCCCGGCCGCCTGTCGGCCATGCGCGAGGCCTTCTCCCGCAGCCGCAGCGTCAGCACCGACGTGTGAGCGGGCTGCGGGGAACCCCCACGCCAGCCCCGGCGTGTGCCCGCTTCTGCCCCGCCCCCGAGCCCTCCTGCTTAGCTGGGCTGGGGGAGGGGCACCAGGCACCCCACCCAAGGGGCGGCTTCAGCTCAGCAGCAGGTGAGCAGACCCCCCTCCGGGACTTTTGGTCTAAGGGGCAGGAGGGAGGAGGGCGGGGAGGGTCCCCGCGCCCCCAGGCCTCCCTTCCATACTCCATCTCCTGCTCAGGGCCTCTGAGATGGCTGAGTGCACCCCGGGGAGGGGGCTCTCCCAGGAACACCCTGGGTGGGAGGGTGTCCTGGGAACCCCTGGCAGGTCCCTTCTCAGCTGGGCCAGCAAGGCTCAAGGTCACCCCATGTAACACCCCAAGCCCACGGGCAGGAACCCTCCCTCTAGCCTGGCCCCCAGCAAGGCCTTCCTGAAGGTGTCTGGGGGTCACGGGCTCCCCTCTGCCCTGCACCCCCCACTCTGTGAGTCTGTTCCTGATGCATTAGCTCGGGGGGTGGGCGGTGGGTGGGGGTGTGGGCCAGGACGGGCCTGTCTGTGGCCTCGGGTGGGCGCCCCCAGGCCCTTTAATAAAGCTCCCCTCTTCTACCCGTATCTTCTCTGCCGCCTCCAGACCCTGGTCCTCCTGCGTGGGACTTTCGGGGAGGGACGATGTCCAGCGCACACAGCTGGAGCTGGCCACAGGAACTGCTGGGCTGTGGACACTGCTGGTGCGTGGGTTCACTCAGGGTGGTAGCAGCCTGCCAGGCATCACCTAGAACGGGGGGCTCCAGGCTGCACCCATGCTCCCTGCAGGGTGCCCAGGAAGGGGTGCAACCTGCCCTCACGGCGTGGGTCCGGGCCGCTGTGTTGGTTCCTGTGGGGATAGGCGAGGCAGCAGCCCTGGGAAGCGGCCAGCAGCCGGCGCCTGCCTCCCCTGGAGCCCAGACACTCTGGGGGCCTGGACCCACTCTGTCCGGCACAATCCAGCTGTCCCGCCGAGGCGGGCGCCCAGGCAGGGCTCCCGGGGTCCAGCGGGCTTGCTGACCCACGCCCCCACCCCTGCTCCTGCAGCACCTGCTCCTCCCGGCCGCCTTCCCCGGGCCTTCCCCAGCACGGAGCCGAGCCGGAAGTCCCCCGAAACACTTTATTGGCTCACGGAGACGCAGGGCGGGATGGGCGCCCGGGTGTCGGGACGCAGGGGCAAGACGACCCGCCCCCGCTCCTCGAGACCCCACACCCCTACAGGCCCACTGGCAGGGGGCGGGCTCTGGGCTGTCCTCGGTGGCATCTTCAGCAGGAAGGTGTCTGTGGAGCTCCCCGGGGCGCGGGGCTAGTGCGGGGGCCTGCAGGAGCCGCAGCACGCTTTGCTGTAGTACCAGTGGCCGCAGAGGTTCACCTTGATGGCCAGCGCGCAGTTGGTGCCTGGCTGGTCCTGGCAGCTGTCGTCTGGGGCGGCGGGCAGCGGCATCAGGGACCGGGCCGGGAGGGGGGCCCAGTGGCCCAGGGCAGCCCCCTGCACGCACGCGCGCCCTCCGCAGCACGCACTACGCACGCGGAACCTCCTCACGACACACTACGCATGCGCAACCTCCGTACCACGCACGACATATGCACAACCTCCGTACCATGCACCACGTACCACGCACGCACAACTGCGTGCCACACACGCGCGCCCTCCGCACACACAGTCCTGCTCTGGGCTTCCAGGAAAGGTATTCCGGCTCATCTCACTGTGCCCTTTCCTGCCCGGTCCCCCCCCATGACCCGGATGCAGCCCCGTGGGGCCTGGGGCAGGGGTGGAGCCCGGGCCACGGCCGGCCTCCTGGAGCTGGACCCCTGGACCCCCAACCCGCTGCGCCCGTCTGAGTCCTTGTCCGGCCCCTCGCTCTTCTCTGCCTGCCCCCGGCGGCCTTGCCCCTCACCTGGGGGCTCCGTGGGGCAGGGCTGCAGGTCGCAGGCTTGTCTGCCCACCGGCTTCACCAGCGGGTCGCAGCCGCGCACGATGTCAGCCCCCTGGTAGCACTTCACGTCCCGCATGCGCACGCCGACCCCGCAGGTCTTGGTGCACTGGGGGAGAGGGAAACAGCATGAAGCCCCCATCTGCGCGTCCCCAGGGGGCTGGGAGACCCCCATGGCAGGCTGCGGGGGCCTTTCTTCCCAGGAGCCGGCAGGAGCGTGCCCGGTGCATGCGCCTCCCGTGCCGGCCGCCCCCTCCCCGCCCCTTCCCGTCACCACACTGGCGGCCTGGCCCAGGTGGCCCTCGCCGGGCACTGCACCGGGGCTCCGGCCTGCCCACCGTCCACTCCCCCAGGCCTCCCTGCGCCCTCCACCTCCTGGGCACCCCTTGGGCTCTGTCCTGTCCTGACCCCCCGGGGTTCCTTTGGGCAGCCCGAATGAATGAAATGACAGAGTGAATGAGTGAGTGAATGTGTGAGAGGAGTGACTCCTGCACCCTGGACTCTGGCTGTGGCGGGACCAGCAGTGGGTCCGGGGGCCCCAGTGCCATCCTCAGAGTTGGGAGTTGGGCCAGGATGACGCTGAGGCCAGAGGCCGCCCCGGCATGGGGGGCCCCACCCCACAGTGCTCCTGTCCATGCCCACACCCCAGGAACCCCCGTCTCACGGGGATGGAGCAGCGCTGCTGCCCAGTGGAGTGGCAGAGCCGAGGGGTGGCCCGGCCCGGGCAGCGGGAGGCACGGGTCACCGCCAGGGATGGGGCAGCTCCCAGAAGGGACAAGGTGGTGACAGGGGCTGAGGGTCCTGTCGGTGGGTGGGCACCTCCGGGCCCTCCACACCTTACCCTGCCCTTGATGAAACACAACTGAGCAGAGAGGTGCAAAGGTGAGTAGTACGAGGCTGAGCTGAACAGGGTTCGAGGGGGGCGGTCCTGGAGGACTTTCTGGAGGAGGTGGCTTCCGCTTTTCCAGGGCGGGAAGCCCGGGTGGGGTTGGAGGGGCACTTGCCTCGGACCAGGGGCTGGTGTACCACTTGAAGCAGGGCCTCTCGAAGCACGTGCTCTCCTCGGCCGGCTTCTGCGCCAGGCCGCACTCGGAGCCGCTGCGCGCCTGCGGCCGCCCGTTGGCCAACTGCATGCACAGCACCAGGCGCTTCTTCACCCCGCGGCCGCACGTCGTGTTACACTGCGGGGAAGGGTCCGAGGTCAGCGGGGTGCAGGCGGGGGCGCCCACAGGACGCCCGGGACCACTCGGGGGTGTCCTCCAGCCACGGGGGCCAGTCTGCGGGGTGGGGGGGACTCACCCGCTCCCAGTCCTGGGCCAGCCAGTGGGCAGGGCAGTTCTTGTCCCCGCAGGGGTGGATGGCCAGAGGCTTGGCGTCTGCCTGGCACTGCGACTCGGGCACCACGCGGCCCTCCGCTGTCTTGCAGTAAACCTGCCTGATGGTGCGGCCCTGCCCGCAGCCTCCGCTGCACTGCGGGGCACAGGGTCAGAGAGAGGCCCCGCCCCGCCCCGCCCCATCCTGGCCCCGCCCCACCCTCCTGGCCCCGCCCCGCCCCATCCTGGCCTGGCCCCGCCCCACCAGCGCGCACTGGCCCTCGGAGGGGAGCAGCCGCCCAGGCCACCCTCTAGCACTTTCCGTTCCAGTTACAGACATTTCATAGGAGCCCCCAGAAGGCCCCAGCAAGGGGTCCGGGAGGACGGGAAGGACAGGGTGCACCCAGCCCCCTGGGGCCCCATGCAGGCGAGGGGGACACGGACAGACCAGGCCAGAGTGACGGGACCACTGGTCGGGGGTAAAGACGGAATAACGGGGAGACTGGTGGGGGCTCCACCCACTCAGTCCCATCCACCCCGGCCTCCGCCAGCTGCTCACCGGGCCCCAATCGGAGACCGTCCACTGGCGGTCGCAGGGGGGCCCCGTGCACCCCTTCTCCGCGACCGGCCTGGTGTTGGGGTCGCAGAGCTTCTCGTCCTCCGAGCAGCGGATGTGTCTGGTCACCACGCTCTGCTCCCCACACTTGGCTGTGCACTGTGGGCAGCGGGCAGGGCAGGGTCACTCGGGGGCCAGCTGCCCCTGGGACCCACGCACACCCCCCTCCGCCGGCTCCCACTGGGGGATCTGTCCCGAGGGCCGCTGCCCGGCCCACCTCGGCTGCCTGGCCCACCTCGGCTGCCCCACCCCCCGGGCTGCTGCCCGCCCCGCGCCCCGCCCACCTCCGACCACTCGGACATCTCCCACTGCGGCCCACAGGCCGGGTTGCGGCAGGTCTTGCGCTCCTCGGGCCGCACGGCTTCGGCCGCCTCGCACAGGTCACTGTACACGGAGCTGTCCAGGCCCGGCGACAGCATCTTCCAGCAGCGCACGATGCGCACCTGGAACCCCTCCCCGCAGGTGCGCGAGCACTCGCTCCAGCTGCTCGTCTCCCACCTGTGTCGGGAGGCACCGCCTCAGCCATCCCCGCCCCCGCCCTCCAGTATGTCCCGGAGCCCAGGAAGCTGGTCCTCCCCGTTCCGGGGCACCCTCCCCAGGCCCAGATAGGTCAGAGGTCGCCCTCCCCCACATCCCAGGACAGCGCTGGTGCGGCCCCCTACCGGGGCTGGCACTCTCTCCCCACACAGAACTCCTGCACCGGCTCGGGTCGTGTCAGGGCGTCGCAGTAGCTGTCGTCCACCTCGATGCCATCGTAGCGGACACACATGGCGTAGGTCGACATTACTCCTGGCATGGGACAGGGGAGGGCCCGTGAGCCCCAGAGCCACCCCCACGGCTGCAAACAGGGAAGGGACGGCAGGCTGCAGGCAGGACTGTGCCGAGCGTCCATGGGGTCCCTGTGGGCTCCGCTGCGCTCTCCCCGCCCACAGGGGTCAGCCGGGACATCCACTTCAACTCGGGCTTTGAAGAGAAACGAGTTAGTCCAAAGTTGATCGCCACCGATTCAGCCACTTCTCCGTGACTGCCGGACATGAGCTGGCACACGGAAGAGCAGGGAGAGGTGAGTGGGCGGGCTGTGGGTGGGGAGAGATGGCCTGTGGGTGAATGGGAGATGGTGGGTGAGTAGAGGAAAGGGTGAATGGCGAATGGACTCAAGTGATGAGAGCTGGGGATGGATGGGTGGATGGGAGGAAGGATGTGTGGGCAGACAGATGGGGATGGCGGACGGCCGGGTGAGTGGGTGGGTAGGTGAATGTGTGGTGGATGACTGGGTTGCTGGTTGTTGGGTGGGCAGAAGAATGGGTACATGGATGGTGGGTGGATGAATGGTGGATAGATGGGTGCATGGTGGATGGATGGGTGCATGGTGGTAGATGGGTGCATGGTGGATGGATGGATAGATGGTGAATTGGTCGATGATAGATGGGTAGGATGTGAACATGTGGATAGGTGGATGGATGGTGAATGGGTGGGTGGATGGTGGGCGAGGGCATGAATGGGTAGAATGGATTCATGGTGGACAGAGAGATAACAGGTGGCTGGATGGGAGTGTCTGGGTGGGTGAGTGTCGGGGGAGTGCCAACATCCTCAGCTTCCAGACATGCCAGTAGCCCTTGCTGCTCTGCCCCTCCCAGCTCCCATCACCCCACGGAACTCCGCAGGTCCTGACCAGAGACGGCTCAAGCCCAGCTGTCTGTCCTGCTGGGGTGCTGAGAAGGTTGTCACCCCCAGACCTCAGCGTGGTCACCCCCAAAAGGGAGGTGAGTACAGCTCAGCCCACCATGTTCTATGGTCTTTCTCCTTTCAGGCATGCCCGGGCAGGGGCAGTGGGGGCGTTTACTGAGACCCCTCATTTCTGCTGTACACAAGGAGTCCCTGGGGGGCAGTGATGACCGGAGTTATCCCAACCACTGGGCCTGGCCCTGCACATGGGGACACCTTGGCGGTCTCCAGCCAGGACTGGGAGGGCCACTGGCCCCCGTGAAGGAGGCGGAGGGATGGGCCGTGACCGAGAGACCCTGGGCCTGTGTGGGTCTCTGCAGATTGGGCCCACGGGGGGGGGTCCACCCTTCCCAGACGGAGCTGGTCTGTGTCTGTCCCTCCATCCGTCCATCTGACCTTTCCTGGGGGGTCAGGGACAAAAGTTCCAGAGGACAAAGCACGTGTCCTGCTGCCCCCTGGCCGCCTCCCCACCCTTGTCTTATTTTCTGCCAATGCTGCAAAAGGCAGGACCCCCGGGGGTCAGAGCCAGGAACCCCCAGGCCCCTCTCGGCTGGCCACTCCCGGTGACTGCGTGTGGGGGAGAGGCACTGGAACAGGGTGCCCCTCACGAGCCCCGTGAGGGGCCGGGGTACCCCTCAGACCAGCCTCCCCAGCAGGGCCCCTCTCCACCCTGCCCACGCCCCCACCCCGTGGCATACCTGTGGCGCAGGTGGCGCTGCAGGGCTCGTGCGAGGACAGCTTCCACCGGTACATGTCTGCTGGGCTCATGCCGGGGCGTCGCCCCTTGGGCCTGGGCCTGGGGGGCGGAGATGGCCTGAGAAGACCCCAGCAGAGCCCGTGGCCCCCCATGTCAGGGCGAGCACGGAGAGGGGGAGTGGGGCAGCCCCTTCAGAAAGGGGGGCCCCTGACGGGGAGCTGCTCGGCCAGGCCCGGCTTCCTCTGCACGGCAGCCGCCCAAGAGGAGAGACCAAGTCTGGCCTCACGAGTCAGCAGGGCCGGGCTGGGGTGTCCTCTCTAGCACTTGCACCCGGGGCCGTGCCCGTGACTGATGACGTGGCAGGGGGGCTGTGGGGTCCCCACATGCTCCGGGGCTCTGGGGCTGCTTCCCATACCCGGGCACAGCCAGCGAGCGAGACCCCAGCCCCGAGTGCCTGTCCCCGGGAGGCAGCCACTCCAGAAGGCCCACCCAGGGCATGGCATTAGTGACAGGACACTGGGGACAGAGGCTGCTATTGGGGATGAGGGACACAGTGTTAGGGCCAGGGACACTGTAGGGGTCGGGGGACACTAGGGGTCAGGGGACCCTGTGGGGGATGGGGGACACTGCGCTAGGGACTGTCCCCAGGACGGGACACGGGTCACAGGGCTGCTCAGACTGCCGAGCCGGAGATGGACGGGGTGCGGGGTGGAGGCGGCCGTGCCACGCTCGCCGTGGGCAGTGGGCACCTCCCTCCGTCCCTTGCCCACCACCCCGCGCAGACACCAGCCCCAGCCACACTGCAGCAGCCTGACTCAGCCCAGACGCGTGGCTGGAAATAACCGGGGCCCAGGGGTATTTCTGGAGGCGCTGCCCACATGCCCGCGCAGCCCCCTGGGGTCGCAGCCCCTCTCCTCCCTCTGGGGGAAGCGCCACGCGCCCCTGCTGCGGCAAGGCGGCAGCCCCTCTCCGGTGCCAGGCGCCCAGGGGGACCCGGCGGTTCCGGTTCCGTGGCTGTGCCCTCCCTTGGGAGGCCGGCCTGGATGAAAATAACCTTGTCTCCCGCCCCTTTGATGTCACCCTCCCCCACGCAGACACGACTTCCTGTGTTTGGACAACGCGCCAGACATGGCTATTTGGGTCTGCCAGCTCCCCACCGGCTGGCCCTCCCCTCCTCCTGGGGGCGGGGGAGGTTTCTCCTCTGATGAGCCGTGCCTGGCCCCACCCCCAAACTGGGAGTCACCTTCCACCAAGCCTGTTCCAGTCCTGACACCCGGCAAGAGTCTGTGTGTGTGCATACGCTCGTGCATGTGTGTGAGTGTGTACGTTGTGTGTATATGTGTGCACGTGTGTGTGTGATGGGTGTGTGCGTGTGTGCATGGGCATGGGCACCTGCATGTGAGTGAGCACTGCTCTGTGTAGAGGAGGCAGGGGCCACCCTAGCACCACACAGTCCCTGAACACTGCGGGTTGTGAGCCAGAACACAACAAATGAAGTGGGGTGTCCAGACCCCAGGGCTTGTGCTTGCTCTGGCCTCGGGCTCATCCAGTCACAGGCCTCAGGAACTCTCTGACAAGCTCTTCCACTTGAAAGGAGAAACAGGCCCAGAGAGGGTGGTCGGCATGTCCAGGGGCAGAGGAAATGAGGGTCAGGGTGGGGAGAGAGGCACCCCAGGCCACTGTCCATCCTGTGCCACGTGGATGTCACACCCAAGTCCACTTGTCTGTGCCCATGTGCCTGCCAGTGCTTTGTTTTGGTGGCAGGTCACATGCTGGTGCTGGGGGCAGCCCTCAGTGTGGGCACCCCTAGTCCACGTGCAAAGCCTGCGCTTCCCTGAGTCCGCCTGGGCCACCTGCAGGCGTTTCCCCAGTGGACAGCCCCGCCTGGGCAGAGGGGGATCCCCCAAAGGCTCCCCAAGAAGTGAAAGCTGCTAGCAAGTGCACCCCAACTGAGACCGTGACCTCGGAGGCCTTCTTAGACAGACCCTGCACCCCCAAAGCAGAGCCTGCACCTCACCCAGTCTCTGCAGCTCCCTGCAGTTTCCACACAGAAGGGTGGGGGCCCCCGCTGGCACCCCCCAGTGCCCATAGACTTGTGGCACCCAGATTTCCCAAGAACCTAAGAGACCCTAGCTCAGGATCTCCTTGGTATCCATCTCCTAGGTGAACCCCAACTTTCTGTCAGCAATCCTCAAATCTCCTATGTGCCCAAGGTTTATGGGGCCCTGGAAAGCAAGACCAAGGGTGTGTCCACCCTCGCCCCATCACAGCTGACAGACCCTCCTTCCTTAGCCCTCCTTCTCTCCGACCCTCCCTCCTCCCCCCTCCTCCCTTCAACTCTCCCCCCATCAGCCCTGGGCAGTGGGAGCCTCAGGAAAGGGCAGGGGCCTTCCAGGAGGTGGTGGGCCCAGGGACTGTCCCCCCCCACTCCCCGTTCCCAGCTGCCTCTGGATGAGAGCCCAGGAGAGAATGTGAAGACCAGCCCTCATTGTCACTGTCCGGGAGTCCCTGTATGTCACTGTCCAGGTGTGTCTGCTGTCACTGTCCGGGTGTCCCTGCCCTCACTGTCCGGGTGACCCTGTTTTCGCTGTGTCCTTGCTGTTGATGGATGTGTTTGTACTGCCCAGTTGCTCACACTGTAACTGAGTGTTGCCACTCTCATGGTCCTGCCACTGTTACTGTCACTGTCCGCCGACTGTGACTGTTTCCGCCATCACTCCCAACAGGGCTGTCGGGAAGGACGACAGCAGCCCGGGACCCTGTCCCACTTCTGCCGCAGCCAGCTCTGCTGTGGCCGTGGGGAGTCCCCTACCTGGCCTTGTGGGTTCTGTTGGTGGCCGAGGCAGGGAGGCTGGCGTTGGGGAACAGGGCCTCGGAGGAGGAATCGCTCACGCTGCTCAGCTCCAGGTAGATGCCCTCGGGGCTGTCCTCATCCAGTGGGAGGCCCTCGGCCGGGGCGCCCCTCGAGGCGCCCTGCACAAAGATGCTGTTTCCCGTCTCAGCTTGTAGCGGATCGGAGATGGCGTTGGCTGAGGGGGGCGCCCGGGTGGGGAAGGCCTCCTGGCTGTCCCCTGAGAGAGCACCAGTGATATTGCCATCTGTGGGGGAGAGAAGCCCCGCCTCAGCACTCCCCTCGAGAGCCCCCAAGGGTGAGCAGAGCAGAGCTGGAAGTTTCCAGAAAGCTGCTCTGCTCCGTGAGAGGACAGAGCCGCCGAGATCATGCAGTGGAGACAAGCAGGTCAACCCCAATTCCCGTCGGGGCCAGAGCAGTGGCACAGCGGGCAGGGCCTTTGCTGGCACACGGCTGCCCGGTCAACCCCTGGCACCCCAGGTGGCCCAACAGGAGCAATCCCTGAGCATGGAGCCAGGTGTGCCCCCAAATGAAAACAAAGCCCCAGAAGCTGGAAGTGGCAGGAAGGACCTGGCTGCCTCGGCACCCTGATGGAGCAGCCCTGCCCCCCAGAACTAGGAGACACTCGGTCCTGCATCATCCCAACACCCCAATTACTGCCCGGAGAGCACCTTCTACGGAGACTTGAGGGTTTCCAGCCTCTCCCCCACAATCAGTGAAGGGGTTCAGCCCAGTCGCACTGAGGGTCCAGGTGGACCCCAGGAGGCCTGAAGGGCAGGCGCACAGCCGGACTCCGGCACCCCGCCCCCCTCTGCCCTCCTGGCCCTGCCGACCTCCCTGAAGCTCCTCCCAGGAAGGCTCCCCTCCCCCATTACCTCGGAGGCCTCTGCCCTGGGGGGCGCCCCCACACGCCCCGCCACTGGCCAGTGGACACAACTCGTTGGTCTCCGGGCCCCTGCTCACAGCAGGCCCCAGTCCGGGGTCCGGCAGGCCCAGCAGCTGCTTGTCCAGGCCCCGCGACTCGGCCGGGCTGTAGTGGGAGCCGTTGTGGCCAAGGAGCGCAGCCAGCGCTGGCCCGGGGGGCGGGAAACTGTAGTAGCCGGCAGGCTGTGGCCGCACCAGAGTGTACTCAAAGGTGATGGACGGGGTCCTGCCGTTCTGGTTCCACACCTGGGGACAGAGAGGGGGCCCTCTCAGTCCCCGCATGCAGCCTGTCACCCCACCCAGGGCCCAGCCCTGCCCTCCCCAAGGGACATCCCTGAGTGCCCACGCTGTGGCAGTGAGCCCCCGCCCACCACGCACTGCAGGCCCCAAATGCTGGCCAGCCGCAGAGCCGCCAGGGGGTGGGCCAGGTCTCTGCTTCAACTCCCCATGCTGTGGGGTTCTCCTGGTGTTCCAGAACCTTCTGCAAAGATGTGGCCCTGGATCAGTGCCTGCAGAAGTCCTGAGAAGGGTGTTCTCAGGTGGGGTTTGAAGCAAGACCCCATGCAGGGGTGAGGAGAACTTCCTCAGAGGGGCAGGGGACCTCCACTGGAGAAGGCGCGTGGCTGGAGCTGGGAAGAACGGAAGAAACTGTGCCCGGGGCTCATCCTGCAGAGGCCAGGGGTATCCCGGCCGGCTAGGCACCACCGAATCGCAATAGCAGGCCAGTCTGAAGGCCACTGGGGTGTTTCGCAAGAAAACACGTCCCTAGAAGGAGCAGCAGAGTGGACACGAGGACCCTTCTGGACCTGCTGCCCTCCTGGGCCCAGCTCACCCAGGAACCGGGAATGGTCATGTGCGTGGCCCGAGAACATGCCCTTAGCAGCAATCGCAGAGGGAAGTGGTGGGGTGGGTGGTTCTGGGGGTCGCAGGGCCAAGGGTGGACAGGGCCAGGGCAGGATGAGGCTGGGATGGGGCCTGGGCAGTGCAGGCCAGTGGGATGGGGCAGTGGGGTAGGGCAGGGTCGGGCTGGAGTGAGGCTATGGGAGGCCGGGGGCAGAATGGGGCACTGCCCACGGGGGCCTGGCTGGGAATGTTGATCGGACAGCCGTCACTGCAGGTCAAGCCCCAGGAAAGCCACGAGTCACACTCAGCCGTGATCTGGGGGTTTCAGTCAGAAAACTCAGGGGAAGACTGGAAATGCACTCAGGCATTGGGGTGCTGGGGACTTCCTCAGAGTGAGAGAAGGGATACCCACAAGCCTCAGAGACAGTGAAGGGGGCGTCATCCGGGTCCGAGCTGTTGGCACAGAGCCGACGCACCTCAGATCCAGGGGAGCTCAAGCCCAAGCAACCAGGCTGGTGGCCAGACACAGCCACTGAGACAAAGGCTTCAGGGAACAGGCAAGTGGTGGACAAAGGCAGGTCCATCTCAGTCCAGCCCTCAGCAGTGTCTGGACGGGGTCAGGAGCTCCAACCCCGCCCAGGCTCCGTGGCCACCAGCTCAAACGGAGCTGCTGCCTGGTCCCCTGTTCACCCCCATGTGCTGGGTCCTGGACTGGGTGAGAAGGACCCAGACCACCCCCACTAACTGGCACTCAGAGCGTCGAGGAGACCCAAAGCATGGGGCTACTGTAACGGCCCAGGGGAGCTCCAGGCCTCAGGCCCCTCTCTGCTCTGCAGGTGATGCAGAGCCCCAGGGCCAGCTCACTGGTTGGAGCCACCACCCAAAGGTGCTTAGTGAGACTTGATGTCCCTGCCATCCATACGTTGGGCAGAGTCAGTACCACCCTCATCCACAGCCTGACACTGGCTCCCTGGTTCCACCCCACATAGCCCAATGTGCTGATCCCTTAAGACAGGACACACCCCAGTGGGCCAATAGCACTGTGCCTGTCCTCCAGGGCAGTGATGCAGGCCAGCTCTCGGGGGTGGAGCCTGCGGGGGGGGGGGGGAGGGGGGGCAGAGCCAGTTCTCAGAGATGGAGTCACACCTCGGGGAGGAGCTGGCTCTCAGGGGTGGGGCCAACTCAGAACCAGTTCGTGGGGGCGTGGCCAGTTCCCAGGGACCGAGCAAGCGGGTGGAGGCAGAGCCGTGTCTTAGGATGGAGCCAGCCCCGGACCACATCCCCATCCACGTGCATCTCCCTCATCAGCCTTGAGCTGGAAGACTTGGCACTGGAGGCCCAGGTAACAGGTGCATTCTAGGGGACAGGGATGGAGGGATGAGGGGATATGCCCTGGGAGATATACCAACCCACCTACCTCCGCTGTTTCAGGGTCCAGAGGGAAAAGGTCAGGATACCCCCTTGAAGGGATGGGGATGGTGGCGCCCCTGGCATCATGAGGAATTGTGGGCACAGCATCTCCCTCCTGGGAATGCTGACCAATGCACATGGCTCGCAGCTGCTGACCGGGAGGGTCCTGACGGGCAGGCAGTCAGACCAGGCCGCCCCTCTGGTGGGCACAGGCAATTCCGCCACCTCAGCCCCAGCAGGCAGCCCTGACACCCCTTGCCAGCAAGTACACTATCCGGGCAGGGGTGCAGAGACCACGCAATGGATTCCCCAGACAGGACACAGGGCCCACACCCTGCAACAGGGAGGTCCCTGGGGCACAGAGCATGAGACCCATGCCATCCCTGCCTCACTGCATGCTCACCTGGCCAGAGGAGGGCGAACCTCGGTCATGGTGGGGCCACAGGCTCTCTTGGAGCCCGGGACCAAGCCATGGAAGCCGGGCTTTCCCCATGGACTGGCCTACCAGGTCCCTGCGGCTGTAGGACCTGTGGCCGGGGATGCTGACACCCCACCAAGAGATACCCCAGCCTCCTGAACCTGACGCTGATGGCCACGTTCAGGGCTACAAAGGGACTTGGGCATGGACCTCCACTGACCTCGAGATAATGCAGCCCTGGGGATCCTATTATTTTGTTTTGCTTCTGGCCCACACCTGCTGGTGCTCAGGTCTTACTCCTGGCTCTGTGCCCAGGAATTACTCCTGGCGGGTTTGTGGGACCATGTGGGGTACCAGGGATCGAGCCCAGAGCGTGATATTACTCGTGACACTATCTCTTTGGCCCCTGTGGGATTCTGTTGGTACAATGGGAAGGAGAGACGGGGCGTGGAGCACCTGGCTGGACAGACACATGCACAGCCCAGGCACAAATGGGACCCTTGAAGCAGAGATGGGTCACGTGACTCCACGCGGCCCCCACAGACCAGCGCTAAGAGCCATCCTCGGTGGGACTCCCAGAAACACCCCAGAGTGTGAAGAGCAGCTGAGAGCCCGGAGCAGAGGGAAGGCATGGTGCACAGTCGGGGGGTGGGGGGTGGTACCATGCTCCCACTGACAGTCGCCCCAGGGTCTGGCCCTCCCCAAGGCCAGCACACCTGGTGCAGAGCCCCTGAGTTCCAAGCCCCCCTGCATCCTGCCTTACAGCTCTCCTGGGTCCACCCCAGGACCCCCAGCACCCCCGCCCCGCCCAAGAAGCTATTTCAGAACTCCCGAGCTGCCTCTCACCCTGGGCCAGGAGAAACTGGTGTCCCATGGCTCCAAAGAAGGATGGGAAATGCAGGATCCCCTCGAATCTGGGATCAGAGGAGCCCTTGGCCAGGAGCCAGTGGGGAGCTGGTGGGCAGCCCTGGGTGTGTGCTACAGTGACCCCTGCTAACTCCACGCGCTGGGACATGGAGGACTGGGCACTGCACAGTCATTTCTCTCTAGAGGAAGCCAGGACCCTGGCTACCACATAGCTCACAGGGCAGTGCCCCCCTCCTGCCCCCAGCCTGCACAGCAGCTCAGAACTGTTCTGGGCCCACTGGACAAAGCCTCTGAGGCCACGCCGGAGTCAGCCAGCACCTCTGAGGCCGCGGCAGGGTTACAGCAGTGCCCATGGCAGGGGGACACCCCCCACTAGTGGAGGCAGTGGGTCAGCCTGCCCGGTACTCTTGCCCACCAGGGGGCGCTGACCGCAGGGCCTGGGGAGTGGGTGGGAGGATGGAGACTGGGGTCCACAGGAGAGCACAGGAACGAGGGAGGCGCCAGAGGAGGGGTCTGCAGCGATGCTGTGGCTCCGGCTGAGCCCCCTGGGCCACGGTGTGGTGGCTGGACGCTGTGCCCACACATCCCGTCCTGGACCCACCCCAGTCACGCACCATCACATTCAGCCCCTGGTTGGTGGGACCCTGGGCCACAATGTACTCGATGCCCGTCTCGTAGACGTCCATAGGCCGCCGGTACTTGACCACGGTGCCCGCGATATTGAAGTTCTTGGGGCTGTCCACCCGGAAGTTGCCGTTAAAGAAGTAGGAGCCAGCTTCATCCGCCAGGGCTGTGAGCACAGAGCTGTGGGTCAGGGGCAGCCCAGCGGGGAGCTGTCTGTGGGTGCCTGCATGGGCACCCCCTCTGTGGGGGCCTGGCAGGGCTGGTGGGAGGGAACCCGCACGGGGTGGGTTCACTGGGCAGACCTGGGCCAGGACAGTGGGGAGGGGTCCCTGACCGCATGTAGCTTCTAACCACCCCCCACACTGGCTCAAGGCGCCCCACATTTTGCCAAGAGTGGCCTGACCTGGCAGAGGCAGGTTATGTGAGGGCGGGGTATAGGCGGCATCAGGCCCAGCTCCTGGAGGCGCCCAGTGAGATCTCTTGCACCGTGCTCCCCTGGCCCCTGAGACTGCAGCGCACAGGCCCGGGATGGGTGCGTGGGTGCCCCAGGACGGGTCCTCTAGCAAAGGCCCCCACCTCCCCCCATCCCCTCCTCCCCCGGGGTCCTGGCGAGGCTCCCTGGTTCAGTTCCTACCCATAACCTCACACCTGAGCCCCGAGCACAGGCAAGGCTGGACAAACGACCCCTCCCCCCACACACACACATACACCTGTGTTTTGAGCAGGGCATCTGCTCTCGGCCACCGCGAAATAACACAGAACCACCAGGCCCCACGTCTGTCCCACACGACCCCAGGGCGTGGCGCGGCCCTCCTGCACATGCTCCACCTGGATCCGACCGCCCTGGGCCTCACGCAGCTCTGCGGTCAGCAGCTCTGTCCAGGCCCTGGAGTATCCCTCCCCCAAGAAGGGGTCACAGTCCCAGCACCCGGCCCCACACCCCCATACACACCCAGGACATCTGCGGACTTCTTCCGCTCCACGATCTGGATGTCTCGGGCACCCGCCGGGATGTGGGTCACCAGGGAATAGCCTGAGGGTCAAACGCTGGTGAGCCGAGGTGCCAACCTGCCACCTCTCAACTGGCTAGACCACCCAGTTCCTGCACGCCCAAGAGGGACGAGGGACGCTCCTGGAACAGAGCCCCCCCACAAGACCCCTGCAGCTGTGCCCAGTCCCTGCCTGCCGGGCCCTCCTCAGTACCATCCCAGGGCTGGCTCAGCCGGTCCTGCCTATCGGCCTCTGAGGAGCCAGGGGGGTGCCATCGTCCAGGCCCTCCTGGGGCACCCCACAGACTGCCAGACCTTTAAAGGTGCCAGGGCCTCAGTTTCCCCATCTGCACTGGGTAAGTGCTTCCATCCAGGTCACATGGGAGAGCTCGATTAGGAAAACGAGGCCGCGGACTGCCCGGCCCAATCTTCCTGCTCAGGAACTTGCAGCCCACGACACAAGCACGCACTGCAAGAGCGCGCACGCACGCACGCACCAACGCACTCACACACTGACGCACGCACGCACTGGCAAGAGCACACAGGCCTGCACACTGACGCAGGCACATATAAGACATGCGCGCACGCGTGATGTCATGCACACTCGCGCGCCCACCAACAGAGCTGCTCGTCGTGTCTAGTTTCCGGGTGTTGCTGGGAGAGGAGCCGGGCTGAATCCCGAGTCTTGCATCTGTACCCCTGAACCTGGAGACCCACTGAAGTCCAGATGGGTGCTCATTTCCGCCCCTGGGGCCATCAGGGACCATCACAAGGGGCGGGTCGGAGCAGTATTCACTCCCACTGAAAGGAGGGGCTGGACCCCCACACTCTGGCCCTCACACCCAGCCCCCGCACCCTTCGGCCTGATACAGCTGCTAAGAAGGGGTGTGGGTCTGTTCCCCGCCATGCCCAGGGACCCCCGTTCTGCCGTCTGATGCCCAGTGTGGGTCACAGCCCAGCTCTGCCCACGCAGCCACCACTCAGCAGTGCCCGGGAGGGTCAGGCACCAGGCAGGAAAGGGATGGTCATGGTGACCCTGGTGCCGGTCGGCAGGGTCTCTTACCAAGGTGGGGGGTCCCCTTGCGGTAGTTGCCCGTCACGTGGGTGCAGCTGCTCCCGTCCCCCTGGCAGACGCCGCACTTGTCCAGAGTGTGTGTGGAGAAGAGTGCGCCGTCACAGCCGATGGGCTGCAGGGAGGAGGCAGGCGGGGCTGCTGGAGGCGCCCCCCAGGCCGGCATGGAGGGCGCCAGGGGCAAGCGCAAGGTGGGCACTTTTGCTACAATGTTTAACAACCTCACATTTTCCAGACACGCAAACCCCTCGCAGCTCGCTGAGTTTGCAAGAGGTGCCGTCCAGGGCGGGGACCATGAGCTGCCGCTGGCTGTCCCGCGTGGTACAGTGCAGGTCGCAGGGCTTGCTGGAGATGTGGATGTAGTCATCTGCAGGGACATGGGCTCAGAGGGGTGCCCGGAAACCCGCCAGCCCCCATGATGAGCACCAGCTCTGCTGGGGGCATCTGAGTTGTGCTGGTCCTAGACACCCAGCACTGACCCCAGCACTGACCCCGGCACCCAGGAGGGTGAGGCCAGTTCCTTCCCATGACCTGAGTGCCCTGGGCTTGATCCGCACCCCACTCCCCTCCCACATCTGTTCTGTCTCCTTCTGGCCCCAGTGAACCCTCCCCGTCCCGCGTGCAGCAGTGGACAGTCCTGCCTTCCCCGGGCTGGTACCAGGGTACAGGGGTTTCCACTGGTGGGTGCGGCCGTTGTACACGCGCGAGTCAAAGGCGCTACACTGCTGCTCACGGAAGCTCCTGCCGTCAGGTGGACAGTCCTGGACAGAGTGGACAGCCAAAAATGAATAGGACGCCAAGGCCAGCCCAGCCTCTGGCTCATGCAGTGCCCAGTGCAAGGGAGGGAGTGGGACGGGAACCCCTCGGGGCTGCCCTCCTGTCCACAGCGGAGGGCCAACGCGTGCCCGGGGCAAGTGTCTCAGAGGGAGCCCAAGGGAGGTGGCAGGCCCCTGGGGTTGAGCCCCACATGGGGTCTCTCCCACACTGCCCCTCCCCCTCCGGGCCCCAGGCCCTCACATGTCCACTCAGGATGGCAGGTGCAGGGGACACACAGGATGCACACCCCCCAATAGTGGCAGGACACCCACAGAGCCCGGCCCCTGCTTCCAGGGAGAAGGTGGATACTGGAGCATGGGGCGGAGCCGGCCGTGGACGCGGGATCCAGCTCTTCCCGGGGGCGACAGTGCCAAGGTCGGAGGTCAAGGCAGTTCCCCAAGACCCAAGCTTCCTCCAGCACAGGCCGGAGGAAACAGAGGACATGGACGCGTCACCTGGACATGGCACAGCTGGTACCGCTTGGACGTGCCCACACAGGTCCGGTTTCCAGCTCCCAGGCTCAAGAACCTCCTGGGGAGAGACGGGTCTGGGGACCAGCCGCCGAGGGCTCCTCCCCCATACTCCTCTCTCGATGGAGGACTCGGGGTCCTTCCCCTTCCCCGGGGAGAGGAGCTGCCCCTTTGCACCCCCAGTCCCACACAGATGAATGTCCCCCACCAGCGGCCTCATGGGTGGGTGAGCCCACAGCTCCATCAGCTGAGGACGAGCTATTGACCAGAGAGGCTGAGTGATTCACCTAAGTCACACAGCAAGGACACGGCAGGCCTCCCCTCATCAGATTGCCCCCTGGGCTTCGCCCCACGTTTCTCCAGCTCGGTCCTTCAAGGAGACCAGTGGGTCTCACACACTAACCCTACAGATGAGCCCCGCTGGCCCGGGACTGCCCCAGGACCCTGGGACACACCGTAGCCCAGACCGTGCTCTGCAGGGAGCCGAGTTCCTGCAGAATCCTGAGAAGGGCAGCGCCCGGCTGGAGACCCCAAGGCCCACCTTTGCTGCAGGCAGTGCCGCTCCTGGGAGGCCACCCCGGCCCCACAGCTGCGGGAACATGCTGTCCACTTGGTCCACTCCCCCCACCAGGCGGCCGCCGTGTCAGCTGTCCCCTCCGGCCTGCTGTCCTGCAGGAGACAGGGACACAGCTAGACAGTGGCCACTGTGGGGTCTCAGCCCCTGGGCTCTGCCCTCCTGGGTCTCCAGGGAGCTCCCAGGCCTCCCTGCTCCTGAGCCTGGAACATTCCGGGAGCTGCAGGCAGGGCGGAATCACACCAGCCTGGGGTTGGGCTGGCCTCTGCAGAATGCGGGTCACCCCTGTCTCCCCACCCAACCCCAGGTGGGCAGCACACTCCCACTCACCGCAGCACCACCCCCAGCCATCACAGCCCCCACCACGAGCGCCTCAGCCAGCAGGAACCAGGCCCAGCAGGAAGGCCAGTGTTGGGCGTCCATCCTGGAAGACAGGCGACAGTCACGGTAGCCCCCTGGCCACCAGGGCCCCCGAGGCACAGGCCCAGCGACACGTGCTGGAGCAATAGTCCCCGCTCGCCCGGAGCCGGCCCGAGGCTCCCCTACTGGAGAAGGCAGGCCGCGGGGCGCACAGCTGCGCCTCTGTGGGCTGTGGCCAGCCCAGGGCCCCGAGACTTTCTCCTCCAAGAGCCCTCCAGGTGGAGTCGAGGGGTCTGCAGCCTGTGGCCCCTCAAGGCAGAACCCCATCCGGGAGGTGGGGAGGCCTTCAGAGGCCAGGGGCCCATCTGTCTCGGCTCGTGTGGGCCAGCCCCGAGCCCGGCTGCAGAGACCCAGAGCCCAGGGCCCGCTTGGGAACAGGTGGTGACCAGGGGCCGCCCCTGGTGGCCAAGCAGGGATACCTCCCCAGTGGCCAACCAGGGGCCACCCCCGGGGCAGCTTCCACCTCCCACACCTGCCCCTCTGCAGACAGGGGCTTCCTGGGAACCACGGTGACCCCAGAACCCCAGCAGCAAAAAGAAGGCCAAACTAGCACTCCCAGCTGCCCCCTCCCCGAGCCCCCTCAGGGTCCCTGGGCTAATTGGTGAGGCAGTTCCTGCCTGCGGGCTGACGACAGGTGCGGCCTCACACCTGGTTTCCATTAGGCGCCCAGACACGCTGGCTCCGGGCCAGACCCTGGACCCCCCCATCCTCGCCCCTGGGGTCCCACCGCTGCCCCTCTTCCTACAGAAGTGCATGCACGGTGGTGGCAGGGGCAGGGTTGGGAGCAGGGCCACCCTCGCTGCCCTTGCCGGGGGCCCGAGCCCCCCAGAGCTCTCCTTCTGTTACATAACCGCCCCCCGAGGGGTGGGGGTCCCGGTGCCCCCAGGCCTTCGGGGCTGCAGGAGGTGGGGCGGGGGTCCCCGCTGGAGGGGCCTACCTGGCCGGGTCAGCAGGGCGTCCTGGGGAAAGGGGCTGCGGGCGGGCCGGCCAGGTGTGTGGCAGCTCCTGGGCCTCCAGCTGCCTTCCCGCTTCAAAGAGCCCAGAGGGTTTCCTGGGGAGCCGCCCGGCCCAGTGGCCGAGCGCGGGCGCGGCCGCCTTTATAGCTGTCAGACAGACAGGGAGGAACTGGGGCTGCACCGGCCTCCCCCGCCCGCCGCCCGCCCGCCGCACACTTTAACCCGCTCCGCGCCTCTGGAGCGCGGCCAGCCGGCCCAGCTGCTTGCGGCCTGCTCCTGGGAGCCCGGCGCCGCCGGCCCGGAACTCCGCACCCTGCCCAGACGGTCCAGATGGGGCGGCCGGCGGCCTGCCGGCGGGGGAGGCACTGCGCCCGGCCTCTAGAGGGCCACCGACTCTCCTGCCCCAGGAGTCTGGAGGGCGGCTGTGTCCCAGGGGCCAGGCCGAGGGCGCCGGCGGCACCCAGCTGTGGGCAGAGGCCCGAGCAGGTGGAGGGGTGGGGCGGGGACCCACTGAGCTGACCGGACGGACGCCGCCGGCGTGGGGAGGCCAGCCGGGGGCTGCAGATGTTGGGCACTGATTTGGCCGGGCACTGGGGCCTGGCTGGGCCGGGGCCAGTCGGGCAGCACCTGGCAGGCCAGGCCTGGGGCTCCAGCCCCACGTTCCTGCTGAGTCAGTGCGCGGCCCCCAGACTTGGCCGCCGCGCCCCAGAAAGCCTGCCAGCCCACCCTAGGTGCTGCTCTCCCCAGAACACAGCGCAGCCCCTCCCCCAGCCTCAGGGAACCTGCCACCACGGCTGCCACCCAGGGGACTGGGTCCCCAAGGCGTCCCGCCAGCAATGTTCTCCATACCCAGGGCTGCCAGGGAGCCCCCGCTCGCGGGGACAGGGACTAGTGAGGCCCCTTTCTCACTGACCCTCAGGGCTTCCTGTGGACTCCACATCTCCCCCGGGGCGGGGCCGCCAGGGAACCGCAGCGCCCCCTGGGGTCGGCTTGCGGAAGTACAGGCAGAACGGCAGATTCTGGGGTGTGTGAACACGTGTACCAACAACACAGACATGCTTGTACACACCTGGGAAGCAGGGCACACAAATGCACATGTGCACATAAATGACCCCTATACTCATGACATGTGTGGGGGCCAGAGCGATAGTCCAGTGGATAAAGTGCCTTGCACACGGCTGACCGGGGTTCAATTCCCCAGCATCCCTGAGCACTGCCAGGAGTGATCCCTGGCCTAGAGCCAGGAGGAAGCCCTGAGCACCGCAGGGTGTGGGCCCCAGACCAAAAAACCCCAAATGACTCTATACAAACCTGGCACATAGACATAGCCCATATGTGCACACAAGGACATACAGACACATGTGTACATACAGGCACAGAACGTGTGCACACAACCTGCCACGCAGGTGCAGGACATGTGTGCACTTACGGGCTCAGGGTGCGTGCCCAGGCCCCAGTCCATGTCCTGACACAGCCTGTGCCTGCAGCGTTGCAGGCTCCGTGTGCCCTGGGGAGGGGTCGACCCGTACCCCTGGCCCTGGGCCCAGCAACCTCCGAGGCATCACTGCACCCCGACCCCCTGCTGGGAGGCCCCAGGAGGAGGGAGGCCTCCGGGCCCTGAAGAGCCCAGAACCTGGGGCGGGGAGAGAGCCGAGAACGCCTGTGAGGGGCTGGTCAGACTCGTATCCACCGCCAAGGGGCCACACCTGGGTGTGCCTGGGCAGGATGCCCGGGGCCTCCTGACAAGCTCTCCCAGAGGGTCGCACCAGTCAGAGGGTCAGATGACAGCAACCACCTCAGCACCAGCCCACTGACCCCGACCCTGACCCTGACCTGACCTGACCCTGACCCAACCCTGACCTAATCTGACCCTGCCCTGGCGCTAATTCTAACCCTAGCCCTGAGCCTGACCTGAACCTGACCCTAACCCTGACCCTGACTTAAGCCTGACCCTGACCCTGACCTAACCATGACCCTGACCCCGACCCCAACTTTAATCCTTCCCCTAAGCTTGACCCTGATTCCAATTCTGACCCTAATTCAACCCCTGACCCTTACTCAACTTTGTCCCGCTTGAGCCAGGGACTGGACGCTCGAGAGGACACTGCCGTCTACCCCGGGCCCCCACAAGGCCTCTGGCCGACCTTCCCTGCCCGACGGACCTGGTGCCCATTTGGCTGCAGCAAGCTTTACTGGGGAAACTCCTTGCTAGCTCTGGGCAGAGGGAGGCGGTCACCCCTCTCCCGCTGTTGCTCCGTCACAGGTGGAGCGATAGCGCAGCGGGGAGGGCGTTTGTCTTGCACGCGGCCAACCTGGGTTCGATTCCCAGCATCCCACATGGTCCCCCGAGCACCGCCAGGAGCAATTTCTGAGTGCAGAGCCAGGGATAATCTCTGAGCACCATCGAGTGTGACCCAAAAAGAAAACAGAGAAAAACACTCCCAGCCTGACTCAGAGAAATCAAAGTGCTGGGTGTCTGGGGGCCTTCCTGGAGGAGGGGGCATCAGAAGATGAAGTGAGCACTGTGGGCACAGAGACTCCTGCAGGAAGCAGCTGTGTGTCAGTGACAGTGTCCTGGGGCTGCAAGGGGACCACCTAGGTCCCGCTGGGGTCTGTCTGCAGCACCTGGGGAGGCCACACTGCCCCCAGGGCCCTTCTGGGGCCTAACTGAATCATGGGCCTTCAGCTGCTCTGCTCTGGGCAGGGCTCCTGGATGCTGGATGCCGGACACTGGCCAGAGCCCAGGAGGGGATGCCGCGGTCATTCCTGTGATGCTCAGCCTGCAGGCAGGTTGTGAGGGGTCAGATGGCAGAGGCAAGACCGTGGGTGGTCGGCGGCACCCGCGTCCCCCAAACAGGTCTCCCCTCCGTCCACCCTGCACCCTTGCCCAGTGTCCAGTCCACCATGGGTGAAGCTGCCCCTCGATACCCTGGGGGAGCGGGCTGGAGCCAGCTGGGGGCTCCCGCGGGTGGGGTCTCAGGCCTCCAGGCCCTCTCGGGCTTTGAGGGGCACTTGGGTGGGGCGGGACAGCTGGGGCGGAACCCGGGAGTCGGCCTGGGCTCCGGGGGCTGCCGCCTGCAGCCAGGCGTGGGGGTCTCACAGGGCTGGCCACCGCTCAGGGAGCCCTGCGGGAGAGGACAGCCTGCTCTCCTGTCACCTGCACACTGGTCAGAGCCATGTGGGTCGGGGGTCATGGGTCCCTCTCCCCAGCATTGGCTGTGAGGGGCCACAGTCACAGCGCCTCCTGAGGGTGGAGTCCTTGGGCCACCGCCCACTCTCTTCTGGGGTGACCCAGTGCTGCTGGCCAGACAGAGCAGCCCGGTTCCGCCCAAGCAGCTGAGCAGCTGCCCCGGGGCCAGGGACAGTCCAGGCATATCATACTTCTGCCTGCCTTGAAGCCCTGCTGGACCCACTGGCCACAGGACCAGGCTCTCTGCTCACCCCGGAGGACAGGCCACCTGCCCACAGAGGTGGGCACCCCACATCCCTGGCCTCTGATTTCCTCGCTGGAGGGGGTCGGAGTCCTGGCACCTGTCCGAGACAGGTGGGTGAGGCAGAGGCAGTGACCGCTGCACGGGACAGGTGGTCTCTGCGCTCAGTGTCTGGGGGCGCGGCGAGCACGCACGCAGCTGCTGGTCTGGTTTGGGAGCAGGGGCGGGGACGGAGCCTGCTGGTGCCCCCAGCCCCTGCTCCCCACGCCCTCTCCCAGCCCCTGGAACAAACGCTTCCCCTGAAATGACCGAGGGTCATTCGAGTCTGTGCAGAGCTGGACCATGTCCCTCGCCAGCTGGTCTGGCTCCAGACAGCAGGTCTCGGCCGGGAGCCACCCGCCGCCCCCAGCTCCTGCCCTGGAAGGAGGCTCCACTTCAGCCTTCTTGTCGCTGCCAGCTCCCTTGCCCGCCCCCGCCTGACCCTCTGCAGTGGACAGGGCACCTGCCGGCTCCTGGTGCTTCCTCCCGCGGGGGCGGGGGCCGGGCCAGCCGCACATCTGCCCCAGGAACAAGGCTCCTCGGAGAGCCGCCTCTTCTCCAACCTCCATTCTCCTGGGCCAGCCCGGGCTGAGCCCCAGTGCCCGGCCGGCCAGCCCCATCAGCCCCACCAGCCACTGACCCACGGCAGGGAGCGAGGGGACCCCAGAGCAGTGCCCTGGCCCTCCCACGGTGTCTGAGGGGAAGGGGCTGGGCTGTGAGGGGCACAGAGCTGTCTGTGGGGTCTCTGAGCCCCTCCGCAGGCCAAGGACCCTGCCAGGCCCTCAAGCAGGAGATGAACGAATTGAATCAAGTAGGAACTTTCATGCCAACAGCAGACAAGGGCTGCAGCCAACCTTGGACAAAAGAAGTTTCTGGAAAAGTGGGTAGGAGCCGCAGCTGTTCGGAGAGGCCTGGGACGCGCAGGCGGGCAAGTGGGGACGTCACTCTCTCTGCCCCGCTGTCCCACACGCCACATTCCAGTGCCCAGGAAGTACAGCCGTGCCCATGGTGGCCGCCCAGCAGCTGAGCCCAAGTGCTGGTACACTGTGGAAGCGTGCCACGGACATTCCGTGGGCAGAGGAGCCAGACCCCAGAGTGTGCCACATGCACTGTTTGCCTGGCGTTCCCGGGCGGGCAGCAGGCACGGGCGGGGCGGGACCCTCCACCACACTGGGGACGGGAAGGACCAGGCCCAGCACTTCCAAAGCCCATCAGCTGGGCCTGGAAGCAGGTCGGCCACGCTGTCGGGACTCCGGCGGGCGCTGCTGAAAGAGACAGACAATGTGGTGCTTCTTCCTGCCATCTGAGGGCTGGGCCATCAGCGCTCCCGCGCCCCGCCCCTCCCCGAAAACACCCCTGACAGTTGCCCCCAAGACTCTTGGTCGCCTCCCATGCCAGCCAACAGAGGCAAGTGCAGCCGAGCCGGGTGCCCACGTGGGCCCTGGCAGACTGTGCCCGCCCAGAGGGACCCAGGTCTCCGGGCAGAGGGACGAGAAGGCGGTCCCCAAGCTCCCGCCGCGGGGTCCCCGAGGAGGGCCTCTCAGCCCCCCCCCCCCCAGACAAGTGTTGATGACGCGGCCTCAGCTGTCGGCCTGCCCCTGCCTATATCCGTCCTCCTGGCGCGGGCAGCACAGCTGCTGGGAGCGCGAGCCGGGCTGCTGGCCGCCGTCCCCTGCTCGGGACCTGCCCGGCCCATGGGGACACTCGTGGCCAAACTGCTTCTCCCCACGCTCAGCAGCCTGGCCTTCCTGCCCACAGTCAGCGTGGCGGCCAGGAGGCGCTTCCACATGGAGGCCATGGTCTACCTCTTCACCATGTTCTTCGTGGCGGTAAGCCTGGGCTGCGGGGAGGCAGTGAGGGACGGGGCGGGGGTCCTGCCCCCTTCTCGGGCTGCCTGGGGAAAGACTGCCAGGAAAGAGATCGTGCCCAGAGGCGCAGCAGGAAGGTGCTGGGGTCCTGCCACGTGAGACCAAACCGCCCAAGCCCTGCCCACCCCGCCCCCGCACACACAGCGCTTCCCCGAGCCGCAGCTGTTGGTGGGGAGGCGCCCTCTCTCCCCAGCCCTGCGCCCTGCCCCGCCAGTTGGACTCTCCCCGGATCCCCGCGCGTCCCCGATAGATATCCGTTCCAACCCCCGTCTACACACCCGCCACGTGGACCGCCAGTCACTATCCCCTGCTTGTCACCCACCACCCTCCGCCGATCGATCCCCACCCCTCCCCTATTGATCAGTCACCCACCCCTACCCCATCGATTACACCCCACCCCACCAGTTACCACCCACCCGGCCTTTGCCCGTCCTGCCTCTGTGGCCCGCCCCCACCCCCGCTGTGCCCAGCCTCATCCCTTACCCCCCCAGAAGCCATGGTGCTGACCTGGGTCCGGGGCTCCCATGGGCAGGGGTGCAGGGGTCTGGGTGAGCACTATGAGAGAGACAAGTGTCGCCGGGCACTCCACAGAATGGCCAGAGGTGTCCCAGCGCCGGCCACTGCTCAGGTGAGCAGAAGTCTGTCTTCTGCTCACGGAGATGCCTGAGGCTCCCTGGATCGAGTCCCTGGGTGCAGTCCCCACAGAAGGCAACCTCCCCAAGGAGTGCGGGACCAGAGCCACAGGTGTTGTGGACGCCTGCACACCCTCCAGCCCCAGGCCACGGCACCCTGGCTGCAGGGGCAGCTGCCTCCTGGACGAGAGTCCTCCGGCCCCCACCCTGCTCCCTCCTGCTGCTCCCGGTTCCCCAGCATCCCTGCCTGCCTGGCCCCTTGCACCCCACACCCCACACCTCCTGTTGCCACAGACGATGCTCCCCGTTTCACCTTCCTGATGACCCCCAGGGTCAAGGCGAAGAGGGCTCCAGACGGCCTCCCGCCCTTCCCGCTCCGCCCCTCCTCCCCGCCCCTCCTCCCTGTTTTGGGGTTTGTTTTTGTTTCTGTTTTTGGGTCACACCCGTCAATGCTCATGACTTACTCCTGGCTCTGCACCCAGAAATCACGCCTGGCAGTGCTCAGGGGACCAAATGGGATGCCAGGGATCGAACCCGGGTCAGCGGCGTGCAAGGCCAACGCCTTCCCCCCTCTGCTTTGGCTCCTTCCTCACCCCCATGCCTCTGGCCTATCTGAGAGAGGCAGGTGCCCCCAGGGGTCGCCCAGGGGGTGAGGCAGCCCTGGGGGGTGGGGGGAACGTCTGAGTGTGAGACACGCCCAGGTGTGGCCATGCCCAGGTGAGGGGAACAGGGGCTGCTTTTCTCTGGAGATTCCACCCCCCTGCAGGCTCCATGGTGTGACTGGGGAGGCATCAATGGAGCCTTCCCAGATGGGGAAACTGAGGCCTGGGTCCCGGAGCCCAGCCCCACGTGCCTGTCTTCCCCAGCTCTTCCACGCATGCCACGGCCCCGGGCTCTCAGTGCTCTGCTTCCTGCGTCTCGACACCCTGGACTACTTCAGCGTGTACGGGACAGCGCTGAGCATGTGGGTCTCACTGATGGGTGAGTGGCCCCCACCCCGCCCCTCACTTGCAGCCTGAGACCCTCCTCGGGCTCCATCCAGGAGATGCCCTGCTCCCTGCCATACGGGCTTGGCTTCCAGGACAGAGCACTCCGGGGCTGGTGCCCGGGTTCTGTGGCGAGGTCAGTACCCAGGCAGTGACCAGCCCCGGGAGGACTGGACCAGGGTGCCGCTGGTAGTGTTTCTCCAGACGCCTGGGCTCAGCCCTCTGGGTGGCCAGTCCACCAGGCTGATTGCTGGGGTCTCACTGGCAGCTGAGGGACCCCCACAGAACCAAGGCCAGGGGACACTCAGCTGTCGCTTGTCCCCCCCTCCCCTCCCCCCCGCCACAGCCCTCGCTGATTTCGACGAGCCCAAGCGGTCCACGCTCGTGATGTTCGGGGCCCTCACCCTGGCTGTGCGCATCTACCACGACCGCAGGGGCTATGGCGTGTACTCGGGCCCCATCGGCACGGCCGTGCTTATCATCGCTGCCAAGTGGGTGCGTACCGGGGCCTCACACAGCTGGGCTGCGTGCTCGTTCACTTGGGATTCAGCTGCTTGGCCTCTGCCTCAGTTTCCACACAGCTCTCAGAGCCTGGACCCCGTTGCACTAAGCTGTCAGAAGCCTTTCCTGGCCATGCCGAGGGCTGGCGAGAAAGGCCACTTTAGACAAGAGGCACCGGTTCCATCTGGAAAGACTCAGGGGCGGAGGGGCCCCTAGCACTGAGACCCCTGACAAGGTCACCCTGCCTGAGGAGGAAGCCCCATCCCGTCCCCGCCAGCCAGAGCTTGGCGGATGGACGAGGGTACCTCCCGGGCCAGTCCACGCCCCAGCCCCCTGCCACCCAGAGAAGCGCCAGCGTCTGGGGCTGACCCCAGTGCCGGGGAGATGCCCAGAGGTGGCAGGAGCACAGCCTTGGGGACGGTGGCTGGAGGAGCAGAGGCGGCAGTGGGTGCTGAGCCCCCGGGGCCGGGAGGATTTGCTTCCCGCAAAGCCGCCACGGCTCCCGGCCAGCTGGGGAGCGGGAAGCCAGCGGCCCCATCGGGTCGTGACTCGCTCGTCTGGACCCGCTAATTAAGGCCGGAAGGCGGGGGGCAGGGCCGTGCCCTCGATAACACTCCGCCGCAGGAAGCGGGGTCCCAGCCAGGCCTCCCTCGGGCCAAGTTTAACCAGACACTGCAGTCACTGGCCTGTCCCTGAGAGCCCAGGCTGGTCCCCGCCAGGCCTGGGGCCCCTCCGGGTCTGGGAAGGGGAGTGGAACCAGCGGGCCAGCCCCCAGCATGTCTCCCCGCCCTCCCGACAACAGGCCAAGTTGCGGGCACCTGCGTGAGATGCAGTGCTCAGTTGGGCCTCTGGGAGAGCAAGTGGTACACTCAGCTCATCCCTGGGCCGTGCCCAGGACACTGCACCCCACAGAGAACATTCCAGACATCAGCCCCAGGCGGCCCTATGGGTCTTGGTGACCCACAAGCCTCAGGGCTGGGATGCAGCCCTCAACTTCCTCCTGCTCTGCACCCTCAACCCGTCGCCCAGATAAGCCACCACTGTCCTGGCCACAGAGGCAGCACCCCACACCTACCAGGATGCCCCCCAAGTATCCCACCACGTCCCTGGGACCCCACAAGGAGCAGCCCTGTAGGAGCTCAGAGGCAGGAGTGAGCAGCACTTCCAGCCTGAAATCCCCTCACGTCCCAACCCCAGTGCCTCCACACACCCTGACCTGTGACCCGTGACCCATGACCCATGACCTCTCCCTCACAGCTGCAGCAGATGAAGGAGAAGAAGGGGCTGTACCCTGACAAGAGTGTCTACACCCAGCAGGTCGGCCCGGGCCTCTGCTTCGGGGCGCTGGCTCTGATGCTCCGTTTCTTCTTCGAGGTACCCAGGCCAGGGGCCCCAAGCACCCTCTTCAGCTCTGCCCCCTTTGGCAGGGCTAACCCCCCGCCCTCCCAAATGGGGTCTCTGGGCTGCCCCTCCACGTTCCTTCCAGGGCAGGTGGCCAGGTCTGTCCCTGGAATCACCAGGGGCTGAGACGAGGGAGGGAAAGTTTAGAGGGAGGGGAGAGAGTGGGGAGCTGGGGGGGGAGGAGAGAAGTGGGATGGGGAGGGGAGGGAAGGGGGTGGGCAGGGGAGGGCCAGGAGCCAGCCTCAGCGGGGCCGAGAGAATAACGGGATTTGGAGGTTCTCCAGGAGTAGGAGGCTCAGTGCCTGACAGAAGGACCTCGGGCAGTGAGGGCAGACCTGCAGTAGCACGGGTGTGGGGGCGAGGGCTGGCGGGGGCGGAGCAGAGGGGTGTGGGGGGGGCTGGGAAGAGGACAGTGCTGGGCAGGGGCAGCGTGTTCTGGCTGGCATGGACCTCTGCTTTGGGCGTGTCCTGGCTGATATGGGGTGGATGGCCTGGGTGGGGCCTGGCTTGTGCGGGCGTGGCCTGGTTGTCGTGGGCGTGGTCTGTCTGGCTGGGGCGGGGCCTGACTGGCATGGGTGGGGCCTGGTTGATGTGGGGCGGGGCCTGGCTGGCGGGGGCGGGGCTGGCTGGGGCCGGGTTCGGCAAGACGGGGCTGCGTGCAGGTGCCAAAAAGCTCCCTGTACCCGCAGGACTGGGACTATACCTACGTGCACAGCTGCTACCACTGTGCCCTGGCCATGTCCTTCGTGCTCCTGCTGCCCAAGGTCAACAGGAAGGCGGGCAGCGCAGGACCACCGGCCAAGCTGGATTGCTCCACCCTCTGCTGTGCTTGCATATGACCGTCCCCTGGGGCACACTGCCCCCAGCCCCCACCAGTGAGCACTGTGGGCCAGGCCCCGAGTTCCTGCATGTCCTCTTGGGAAGTGGGGGTCCCCCCATCCCCTGACCTGGCCCCTTGGCTCCCAACCCCCCACTTAGGAAGCCACGAAGAGTCAGCTCAGCCCTCCCACGGGTCTCCCCTCTGTCCCCTCACCGCTGCCCTGCCTCCGAGATCCTAGGTTAGAGATTCAGTGGTGGAGCCAAGGGGCACCTGGACTCATGCCCAGGGAACACTGAGTCCCTGCAGCTCTGTGAATAAAAGCTCACAAGACTGCGCGTGTCTGAGCCTGTCGGAGCGACTGTCCCGTCTGTGTGCAGAGTGACTGTCCCTGTTCAGACCCGTGTCCCTCCCTCAACCCAGGGTCGCAACCTCAGTCTGGGACCTTTGGCAGAGCTGACTGTGCCCCCCAGTCTGCAGTGACCACAAGGCGGTTTTAGTGAGTCCCAGGCACATCTCCTCATGTTCGTGTGGCTCCGAAGGAAGTGACATGTGTCTGCTTCCTGTTTGCATCTGCAGATTGCAGGGGCCTGAGTGGGGCAGGGGCCAGGCCAATGCCCACACCTGTCCGTTTGCCCACTGGGGCCCACGCCTGGCCACCCTCCACCGGGCTCCATTACTGTGACCCTACAGCCAGGATGTCACTAGGTCAGGGGTGGCGACCCCACCTAGCCCTGGGCCCCTCGGAAGGGAGGGTCGTCCTGGCAGGGCACACATGTGCTCACCCAAGCAGCCACTGAAGGCACCTCTGCCACGCGACAGAGCCAGTCCCTCGGGCTGCAGGTGCGGGGGCGGGCGGGGGCCCTGCATGTCCCCCCTCAGTCAGGCCCCCGCCTGCCCCCCGGGCACCTCCAGCTCCCATGTCTGTGCCACACACGGAAAGTGGGAGGCCCAGGGGTGGCCGAGTGGAGGAGGGAGGTCTGGGGCATGGGCTCCTCACCATAGCCGCGCCAACTTACGGGGCTGTCCGGGCACCCCGCCAGCATGGAAGTCACAGCAATTAGGAGGCGTGCACCAACCCGCACCCGCTGCAGGGGGGCCCTGAGGCGGGAACAGGCTGCGGATCCAGGGGCCACGGGGCCACACCAGGCCCCTGAGAGTCATGCAGAGGAGGGTCTGGGCACTGAGACCAGGCACCCTGAACCCTGAAACCGAGGAGCACAGCCTCAGGCCTCTGCCCCAGGAAGGGAGCCCCAGGGCCGCAGAAGCACCCCCAGACAGGAGCCCCTGGTAGTCCCCACGGCCCCCACACCAGGGCCTGAGCAGCTCCAGGCCTCCCCTGCCCCCTCGCTCACGGGTCTGCCAGGGCCTCGCTGCCAGGGCTCGGAGGGCAGGGTCGCCCGACCCCGAGAAGTTTACCACCGGGAGACAAACAGGCCATTGTCGCCCCAGGCTGGCAGGACCAGAGTCAGAGTCGGAGTTGGAGGAGCCTGAGCCGTGCAGTCTGCCTGACATTTCCTGTCTCTGTCCCTCCCTCCGGCAGGCTGAAACCCAAAACTTTTATTGCCTTTTAAAAGGTTTCAGGCTCCTGGTGACTGTCCACAATTCCTGCTGCAAGTTAGAGGGAGAGGCTGGGAGGGTAAGGGCCTGCTCGCTCCCCCTCCCCCGACCCCCCACCCCCACCCCAGTCCTCCCGCCCTTCCCGGGGCCACCCCCTTCGCTGAGTCTCTGCCTTTGCTCCTGCTGTGCCAGGCTGCTGGGGAGCAGGCTGTGCAGGCCACGGGCACGCTGGACAGCGGGGTCTGCCCGCCTGTCTAGCGGGCAGGGGTCTCTGCCCGGCCCTTCCAGCAACCACATCTTGGTGGCTCCACCCCTCCCTGTGTCCTGGGAGCTGCTGAGATGCCCCGGGAAGGGGCTCTGAGCTGACACCCCCATCCCGAGGTGCTCGGCCGTGGGGCCCAAGGACCCTGAGGACGGGTGAGGCGTGGGTGCCGCCTCCGACGGAGCCCAGTCCCGGGTCCCCCCATCGCCTTCTCTCTGGCCCCGCTGTGTTTGGGATAGACAAAGTCTGGGGACCCCCCTAGACCCGGTGCCTCCCGCCCCCAGGAGCCAGGGCAGGTGAGGGCTCACGCTGCCTTCACCCAGCCTTCTAGAAACTTCTGCCAGCGCCTGCCCGCCCCCAGCGTGCCCGCCTCCACCCTGAGGGTCTCCCGCCCGGCTTCTGTGGGGGGCCCCCCAGTTAGAGCACCCTCCCCCCCACACCCCAGAGCTAACGCGAAAGCCCTGAGCTGGGTTGGCCAGGAGGGGGCATCCAGCCCCAGGGCAGGATGGACCCCAGACTCTGCAAGACCATCCCCGGGGGGGGGACAGAGGGCCTCCACCCTCCATCAGAGTTGGGGGGATCCTGGGCAGAGAGAAGTGACTCACCCCAGGGGGTCAGAGAGACGAGGCCCCCCTTTCTGTGGAGGGGAAGCCGCCAAGACGGGGTGGGGTGAGGGGGCAGCCTGGGGCACAGTTGCAGACGGGGAGCGTGGGGTCACATCTGGCTTCACCAGGCCCCGTCGGACTCGGTTTCCCCCGGCAGTTCCCGCTCTCTGGAGGGGGGCCCTCTTCTCCGCCCTCTTCCTGTCGGCCCCGCGCCCAGCTCTGCCCCAGCGGTGCCCTGTGTCGGCGTGGGTGGCAGGTGAGCGTGGCCGGATTCTGTCGCTTCTCCCCGAGGGACCCCCTGAGCTTCCCGCCGCCCCTCCTCCCGAGTGGGGCCCGCAGAGTCTTGGCCGCCGCTGACACCCGGGTCCTCACACATTTGGCTGACTGCCACTGGCGCGTTTGCTGAAGGTTCCCTGGCTGTGACAAAGGTTCCCTGGCTGTGACAAAGGCAGATGAGGGGGCGTGTCTCAGCCGGAGAGCCTCTAGGGGGTGAGGCACTTGCCTGCTTCCGGCCAGGCTGGGTTTGCGCCCTGGCACTGCATATCGCCCATCCTGAGCACTGCTCGGAGTGAGCCCTGAGCACCATCGGCGAGACCCGAAAGGGAGTGAGAGAGGGGTGCATCCCTCTGGCTATGGCAGGGTGGCACAGGCCTGCCTCGCCGAGACCCTTCACTCCCTTGCTCTGAGGCTTGGGGTACACAGCTTGGGGGGCTTCGGGGGCACAAGCTCTGGAGAACTGACCCCCATCTCTGCAGTGCCGTCCGTCTCGGTTTCCCCGCACAGAGCAGCGCCCTCAGGAACTGCGGGGTCGGGGTGGGCTCTGCCCTCTGCACCCAGAACCAGCCGGGGGCCCGCGGGTCTCACTGCGGCACTTCTGGAAGCTGCCCGGCTTCCAACTTCGTGTTGGAAGTCCTCTCAGGCCCGCCCCTTCCCCTGTGTCTCTACATGAGGAGGGGTCACCCCCCAATACGGCCCCCACAGCAGGAACATGCTGGGGGGACCCGTCCTGAGGGGCCAGTCCGCAGACCACGCCCACAGCAGGACTTCCTTCCCACCCAGCGCTGGCCCCACAGGAGGGGGGCTCAGTCAGCCCCTCTTGTGCGGTCACTCGTTCATCTCATTCATCCACTGGCTGGGTTGTGCACTGTTTTCTCACTCATTTATTCGTTCGTTCGTTCATTCAGTCACTCATTCATTCCACTCTCCCCGGCCACCCCTCAGGGCCAGATGCTGGTGGTGAAGAGCCGAGCTCTCGGGCCTGCAGGGGCCCACCGTGGGGGTCTTTCTCAGGGCAGACACCACGTCCTGCGGGCACCTGTGCCCACGCTGCTCAGGCCAGCTGCCAGGCTGAACAGGAGTGACCCTCACCCACAGCGCCCCGAGGCTGGGGGTGCAGCCTGCAGCCGGATCTTGGGGTGCACCGAGGGCAGAGCAGGTTGTGGAAGGGGCCTCTGGCCGGACACTGACTCGCAGCCCTGAGGGTCCAGGTTGGGGGGTTCTGAGCTGCTGCCCTGAAAGCTGACCCCAGCGTCTACCCTGAGCCTGGCAGTGGGGACGGACCCCCGGCAGGCCTGGCCTGACCTCTGACCCGGGCCAGGGCCCGCAAGACCCCACACCTGTGTCTGTAGAACCCTGGGCCAGGGCTTTCCAGACGCTGTTTGGGAACAGCTGGGCACAGCTGCGTCCTGGGAGGCGGCCCAGTGCCGCGGGAACACGGGGTCAGGAGCAGCGGCCAGGCCGGGGACGGCGTGTCCTGGGGGCCCCGAGCCAGAGGAATGTGTGTCTCTGGAGGCGCCCGAGCAGGGGGAGGGCGGAGCAGCCGCAGCTTCTGGAGCCCACGGTCCCCACTGGGCCGCTGAGAGCTGCGGTCACCGCCCGCGCCCCGGCCCAAGGCCCCCATGACCGGCCCCCACAGCCCCCGGCTGCTCCCCCGTCCCTCTCCCACCAGGCCTCTCCTGTGGCTCCTCTGTGGCGGGGCCAGGGTCGCCTGCCGTGCGCGCGTGCTGTGAGCTGTCATGCGGGTCTGTTTTATGTGTTGTATGTTAGTGTGTGTAGGTTAGCGTGGCTGTGTGTTGACGTGGGGGTGGGCTGGTGTGTGTCGTGTACTGTCGCATGCTGGTGTGTGTTCGTGTTCCCTGGGAATGTCTGTGTATGTGTTATATGCTGGTGTGTATGTGTCATTGCTGCTCCTGCATGTTGTGTGTCGTGCGCAGGCACATGTGTGTGTTGGGACATGCATGCACATGTCGCTCACACCTTCCCCGGCCCCCCAAGAGCCTGTCCCGGGCCCCCCAGCGCAGTGAATGGGCTCCGTGCTTCCCCTCCTGCCGCACATGGGGATTCAAACTCGGCCCACGCATCACTCCCGCACGGGATCAGGGCCGGGGCCCAGAGAGGGCAGCTCTGTTTGTCCCCAGCAGCAGTGCAGACACCAGAGATGGGGCAGTGCCCAGGGCCAAAGGAAGTGACCGTGGCCGGTGGACGCGGTGCAGTGTGGCCCCGTGCCCTCACCCGGGGCGGTCGGGGGTATTTCCCCGGGCCCGCTCGTGAGCAGAGAGGGTGCAGGTGCCCCCCGACCCTGGCGACACGCCCTCCAGAGCCCGGCTTTGAGGGACGTCAGCTCCTGGCCTCAGGCAACACTGCAGCCAGCTGCAGCC